AGCTGGCATCCTTGTACATGCAGTGCTGCCATCTTCTGTTTCAGTCCGTTATTACACTCTTAAATACTACTACTTATTCCTGCGTCTTTTGGGATCTTACAAAGCTTCAAACGACGCGTCGACTATTAAATCAGTCGTAATCGTGACTAGTCGACTAATCGTGGCAGCCCTATTTCAGTGCCACAGAAGACCCGACCTGCACATATACGGTAGGAAAGAGACACCTTTGCCCAGGTGTGGCGATCAAAAAAAAGCTTTATCCCTGCTGCACCTTTCTGTGATCAGATTAAAACCCTGGAGGAGACACAAGGACCAAAGCCAGACCCAAGGCCAATAAAAAAAGAGATGCAGTTAACTATCCTGTTGTTGAGTCTGTGATGGATGGGAAGTCTGCTTCACCGTCCCGAGATCTCTATCCATCATCACGAGTATGCTGTGAGAGATATTACTGAGGGAGGGAGGGATCTAGCAGGAAGCATGATGAAGAGGAGAACGATGGATGAGAAGACAAGTATTCATGGGAGGGAGAGAGACATCAGATGTGTGTTAGAGCCTCACGTTTCAATCACACAAAGTCTACATTTGTAGAAACAGCAAAGCTTGCACTCTTGGCATCTTGCAGGCAACCTAGCAACTGCTGCTATGTGCTGCACAAACCCAAGTTAAAAGCATCCGGACCGGGTTCAGCCTCGGGCCCCACTGTGATGTCTCCACCACTTGAGAGGATTGCTGTTTATTAAACAAAAGAGGGAGAATAGGTAATGCAAGTGTCACTCTGTGCCACCTAAAACAGAGAAGACACAAGATGGGAAGGAGGAAAGATGACTGGGAGGGAGCAAATTAAGTTTCCTCCAGAGGATATCATCATGGGAAACCCCGGTGGCAGAGAGGAGGACAGAGAAAAATGAGGAAGAAGGGAGGAAGGCTGGGCTAGCTGCCAGCTCAAAATACTGGTAATCCTTACATGCACACACACACACACACACACACACATTTCGGATTCCTTGCTGGCCGTGGCCTGTCGATATGATGCCACTGTGATTCATGATAGCTAAACTTGCATCACTTTAGCTAATGATTCCCTATACACGCTGCTGCTGTTTGTGTGTGCGTGCACACGCGCGTGCTTTCACTGCACAGGAGATGACCGAGGACTGAGGAGGCGACTTCTACATCTATTTAAACAACCATTAACCAAACGCACACAAACACACAACGAGTAATAACTCACAATGAATGTGTGCACATGCATAATGTAAGTGGTCCGCTCAGAGAGGAGACGGGCAAAGGCCACAACATGTCAGACTCGCATCCATAAACACTGCCCACATGACATTCAGAGACACACTGAATCATCACAGCGCCAGGTGATTATTCCAAACTGGATCAACCCAGGAGCGACAGCCGAACAGCTGAACTGATGAAACAATTAAACAATAATGTTCCATCAAAAGTCATAAAACTGAGACTGAAACTCAAATTAAATTCTTTCAGGTTTACTTTTTTAATGAGAAACACTAGATTTACGTGAGCCATCAGCAAAATATGCCTTTCCTTGTGAACATCAAAGCCAAACCTACAAAAAACCACTAGAACCAGTTTAAGAAAAGCAAATATAACCCAGTCAGTGTCTACTTTGCAGACAGACCAGTTTCCTTCCAGCTGTGGTCCAACAACCTTTTGTTACGACATCGAAACTATGAAAGGTTTTATGTGCTGTTAGCATTTAGCGCATGATTTACCATCTCAGCTCATTAGTCCCTGCTGAACTCCCAAATCTTATTTACATCGGGTGACTCATTTTTCTTGATTTGCATTTTCATATATGCCGTGGAGTATGACAGGGTGTTAGCTGTGTAACTGTAACACTGCGACAGAAGCATCTATATTTGTTTTGACAGTATGATTACGTAGTTTATGACTTCTAGAAGCTCAACAGGACCGTGTGCTGCGGCTAACGGGCTGAAGCTACGTGTACTCTGCCTTTAAACAAAGAAAAGCAAACAAACAAAATCATTTTAAATACAGGTTTTCAGTTGTTGAGCTGCTGCGTGATAGAAGAAACCCCCCATGCACCACTTTCACCTGTTAACTTTAAGTAGATGCAGTAAAAGGACTAGATGTTATAGTCATCTCTAAAGTTAGAAATATCCTGTCTCAGAGTGACGCTGAAAAACTAGTTCATGCATTTATTACTTCCAGGCTGGACTACTGTAATTCATTATTATCAGGATGTCCTAAAAACTCCCTGAAAAGCCTTCAGTTAATCCAAAATGCTGCAGCAAGAGTCCTGACAGGGACTAGAAAGAGAGAGCAGATTTCTCCTGTTTTGGCTTCCCTTCATTGGCTTCCTGTTAAATCCAGAATTCAAAATCCTGCTCCTCACATACAAGGTCTTAAATAATCAGGCCCCATCTTATCTTAATGACCTTGTAGTACCATATCACCCTATTAGAGCACTTTGCTCTCGCTCTGCAGGCCTACTTGTTGTTCCTAGAGTATTTAAAAGTAGAATGGGAGGCAGAGCCTTCAGTTTTCAGGCCCCTGAAACTGTCTGATGCTGCTATCCTAATACGTGTGGACTTAACTGCATATATATATAATAAAGCGTGTGTTATTTTCTAAAATTCAAAAAGCAAAACAGGAACAAGGAAGCTAATGAAACACAGACTGACCTCTGAGTCCAAAAACTGTTTGCAAAACACTCGGTAGTTGGATGAGCTGAAGTTTTATAAATAGCTTTGTGGTGTTTGGCTGGGCAATCAGGGAATACACACACACACACACACATACACACACACAATCACTTATAAAGATATATAGCTAACACACACACAAGCTCTCACAAACATTTTTTGCTTTGAGTAGCAGGATTTGTGTCATAAATGTAATTACTGCTGTCCAACTGTAAGATGATAGAATTAAGCTGCTTTTAGAGAGTGAGAGAGAGCGAGGGGGGTGTGTGGGGGGGATCACAAGTAAGACAAGAATATCAAAATGATTGGAGGCAGAGGAGGAGGAGGAAGGTGGGGGTTGGCAGAGAAAAACAGAGAGGAGAAAAGAAGAAAGAAACAAAGACAGCAGGCCTGGGAATGAAAGAGGAAGGATGGAAGTGACAACGGGAGAGAGAGAGAGGAAAAAACAAAAAATATATAAATAAAAAATTAAAAACAGAGCACAAAGACAGAGAATGCCAAGCTATCCCAAGGCTATTTTGTTGGCAGGAAGGCAGTGGGCTACTTTCAAAGTCAAAATTACACTAAGGAGCAGCTTAGCAGCAGGCAGCGGCAACAAAGCCTGCAGACCCAACAACAGCCCCAACTTCTGATGAACCCAAGCACTCTTTGGACGCTCCAATAAGGAAATGCAGCTCCATTTCTGTGCTCCACTTTTCCATGGAAAAAGACAATATCCAGCTTCTCCCACTCTCCCATCAGGGGAAGAAAAGCATTACATCACAGCACAAATACCACCCGGCCCCGGCATGCGCGTTAGAGAAGACACACACACTTAATTAAAAATTCCTCCTCAAAATAAAATGACACGGTGATCTAAAGGGTGAGGTGTGCAGGCTACACGAAGCATCTCTAAGAGCGTGTGTGTGTGTGTGTGTGTGTGTGTGTGAAACAGTCTGGTTTGTGTAAGAAACCGTTTCCTGTTTATTATATGTGTGCAGAGCAGTTCACAGATCCCGGCCGACGAAATGAGGTTTTCCGATCCCGCAGGGCCCGTAATAATTAAACGGGCATCATAAGCCATACAAACACGTGACATCATCGTCAATCTCATGTCTCAGTATTTATTTTCAGATTCCCACAGAGCTTAACGCAGATGCAGCTGGTCTGAAAGGCGACGGTATAATAATTGACCGAAAGAAACGATAATGCAAATATGTAGCATGGAGGACTTCCACGAGCGCCACCCCAAAAACCAGATGGTCGCCGGCCTCGCTGCCAACAAGAGTTAATGTGTCGTTTCTGCAGGATAATGACTCCTTCATCTGAGATCCATGTGCACGAGCTGTTTGCAGAAGAGAATCTATTTTTCACTCATTAATGCACGAGCTGTGGAGGCTCATATAGATTCTCGCTTCGGTTTGCTAAAAGATGGAAATCTTAAACATTGGCCTCCACCTCAACGTGCAGTGTCTCATGCATCATACAACATCAGCGCAGCACACGTCAGCTATCGTCCTGTAAAGCCTGAAAAGGACGAATGGCCACACCAGCGAGAAGCGACAGCTCTGACCATCTCCCGATTACTGCTTACCTTTATTGGCTTACTGGGGGAGACGGAGAGGGGTCAAAGGTCATTAGGTATACGGGCGCAGAGCCAAGGGTGCACACAAAGAGAGTTAAAACACAGAATGATGGAAAAGCAGTCACTACTTCGAATAACAGCCGGTAGGAGCTAATGCGAGGCGGCATCGAGCAGGATCTGCACACGTGCACGCCGCCACGCTGACACAAGACACAAATTGAGCTGCTCTCCCTGCGACAAATTAATCCATCAATCCACATCAGCCTAACAAGGTGGCTTTCAGGTTAAATCCAAAGCAAAGTCTGGGAGAGCCAGAGAGACTGGAAACAAAGGAAGGAAGAGAGGAAGGAAGAGACAAAGGAGACAGAAGGGGATCCAGAGAGATGTGGCTCTCTGAAGACGCAAATTGGCAAAGTGTTGTCAGCGTGCGACTGCTGTCAAAGTCAAAGTTTCACCGGGGAGCGATTCAGACAATGGACTGCACCGGGGTCCCTCAGCATCACACTGGCCCCCGACACACACACACACACACTTTCAGAGAGATGCTGTCCATCCTAAGCTCCTCTGCCTGTTTGCCAGCCTCTAAGCCTGAATGGCGTTGGCAAGAAAGTGAGTGAGCGAGGGCTGCTGGTGGGTGGAGGAAGCAAAACTCAGCAATACAAAGACATAAAACTGCAACAAAGGCATACGAGAAATCTGGCAGTTTAAGACATGTTTGCTGCAGGCAAAAAAAACCCTCACACGAGTGAGTATAAACACACGAGACCTTTTCTTTCCCACTTCTTAAGAAAGCATCTGTATTAAGGACTCGCGCATATTCAAGAAACAACTGAGGGCGTTTGTGCGCGTGGATGGAAATGTTCTCGATTCTGGAGCTTGTTTATTCCCCACAATTGACTTTCACGTGAAAACAGCTCTCGTGCACTGTTGCATGCAGGCTCACAAACACACGGGCAGCTCGAGGCCGCCTTCATCACCCGAGGCTCGGCACAGCGAAAGGAGCACAGCTGCAACCGCTTACGTCCTGTCAGCAGTTTTTGGTGTGTTTGACTCCATCGTCCTTCTCACAGCGGTTAAAGGATGAGTCTGCACTCCTGAACCATACGAGCTAATGTGTTCTGATCATGCAAGTACACCCAATAACGACTCGAGTAATCTTCATGGAGTTTACTTGGGAGCATCTCTTCTGTCGTTTCCTCTTCCACAGCTCGTTTGATTTATTACCAGAATGACGGAGCTCCTATTTCTCAATGCCGCCACAAAGACGTCAAGCACGTCTGACCACAAACCCCGACACGATTTGTCAGGATGTAAAAGCGGGGCTTTTCTGTGTTTATTTATCGCAAGAATTTCTGAAATCTTTACTGAAGACCGTTTGCTCATCTGCAGCCTCCACACGTGGGATTTTCATTTAGCCACAAAGACGTGCACGCACTCATTTTTAAAGGGAAAGTTTCCATACATGCACACGCGCACACACGGTCTGTAACGTGGTCGCCTATTTCCATCGCTTTGCCTCTCAAATTCAGCAGAACTATAATATAACACGAAGTTCACATTTTCCACAGGATGATGGAGACTTTCCATTACAATACTATTACCCTAACGGCGACAGCTTTCACGCGTGTATGTGGGTGAACGTGTGATGTCGTTGTCCGGAGATTTCTTTGGCTTTGTAGAGGGAAAGACCATTGCTGGAAGTGTAAACAACATTCCCAGAAGTCATTGTCTTTAAACTGCTCATTTCCCAGGACCCCACCCCATCCCACTCCACACTCTCCCTCCTCCGAAGTCCGTGCAGCTGTCCTGACAGCCTATCGTGGGGCTGCTGGAAGCGTTTCAGTTATAAAAAATGGATTAAAGACGAGGAAAGTGGGCTGTTGTGCTTGCCAGGCACACACTCTCTTTAACAGCTCTCTGGGCTGTGCAGCCTTATAAACACGCTGACAGGCAACAGGTACGGGGAATGTGCAAACGGGCCTTAGGAAAATAATCTGGAAACCAACCAGATAAAGTGTCCAAGTGTCTTTACTGGACATTCAACAGGCCTGAAACCGTGAGGTATACGACATGTCAGATATCCAGGAGTCCAGTAAAGAAAACATCTCTGAGTTACCGGACAGAGCACGCATTCTCATCATTATTGTTATTATTATTATCCTGCAGGACTTTAAAAACTGGCAGCAGCCGGCAGTGCAGCAGGGTGAAGAAAATACAGACTGACCGAGCACAAACAAGTTAATCTGGCCACAGTTTAATCCTGAATTACAATCTGTCAGTCGTAGTCAGCGAGTAGCAGAATATAAACACTATTATTAACACTCGAGTCTTCCCTCCTGGTAACAGTCCATAATCATCAACACTGTTGATTTAAGCTGACAGAGCTTTGTTTGGGACTTTTGTCCACACCTTTGCATTTTTACGTTCAGTCCTCATCACGTCCTCTTTCCTCGTCTGCCTTACTCACATTTTCCGGCACTCGCTCAGCTCCAAGCCAAAGACAAGAAACCGAAGGGAAAAGTGTGTTTTCCTCATCTTTTTACCGGAATGATGGAAAGAGGAACAGACACGGCATCTTTATCTCATTATGGTCCAAATCTAATAAAATTACTTTTAAATCTCTGTTTCCATAACTTGTCTTTCATGCTTATATCATCTTCAGAATTGTTACGGAGCTAACAAATAAAAGTCTGGACCAGCACGTATGAAGTGGGAGAAGTGCTGGACTGAGTGAGGAGGATAAAGGCAGACTCAGAGTGCAACGACGAGTGCTCTTAATGCTGAAGAGGCCGCAAACGTAATGCTGGAGACTTCAAGGCGAAGAGAAAGAGAAAAGTTTCAGATGAAAACTTTTAAAAAACACGCGCTCGTCGGCCGCTGTGGTGAAAGCTTTTGAAGCATCGTCCATCTCTCCGCCCGCACTTCAGCTTTCCTATTAGACGACTCCCTTACATCCTTCTCTCCTATCCTCAGGAGCAGTCTCGTCTGTGAGGTGAGGCCTTGCTCTTCTTTCTTGGTTCGTTTGCAAATTTTGTTTCCATTTGTCTCCAGAAAAACCTTCAATGTGTCCAGCATGTATAGTATATGTTTACGCCGCAGTTTCTTATTTATTGCGGCTAATTTACTGTTTCTGAAATCTGTTGCATGTGTGTGCGACACGGATCATACAGGAGTGTTCGGGAGTTTGGCTCACCTGCATTGCTTCCAGCCAGGGATCCAACATTGTTCTCATCTGCCACTGAAACACAAGAAACTGATGTTAACATACAAACCATAATGCTTGTTTTTATTGTACTTCTACTTTCTGACGTTGCCGCTCTTTGCTCTCACCGTCGCTCTTTAAACCAATATTATGTTTTCTGTCTCATTTTACACGACGGCGGGACAGCCGCTCTGCTTCCTGTGATGTCGGCTCGGCTTCGCTGCTACTGCTAAGTCATTTCCCTTCCTCCCTTGCTCTCACTTCATTTGTCATCTCCCCTCCCTTTCTGTCTTCTTCCCTCTGACCCCCATCTGTCCCTTCACCTTCTGCCCTTTTGCCGCTCGTGTCTCGACTTCACTGTTTTCTTTTCTCTTCAGTTACACCCCGTCCATCCAGCCCGTCGCTCCTCTTTCTTTCCCTCCTTTGATCAACATTCTCGCTGTTAATTCGTCCTACACTTTCTGCCTCCGCCTCGGTCCCCCTCTTGCTTTTTCTCCCTCTATTCTGAAGCCAAGAAGCTGATGAGCAGAGCTGCATCAAACACAGTGACACGGCTTCTCTGACCAAATAGTTTTCTAATGAAAACCAAGCCTGAAGCGTGCCGCCAAACTGCCTGCATCTGACACGATCTGCACCGCATTCCCCGAGAGCGGGGGGATCACGCATGTGATGCACACGGTGTTGTGTTACCATACGCACAGGAGGCCGGTCGCCTACTTTTATAATAATTATAAAACTCAAATTCAGCCTTTGAAACAGAAGAAATGAAGTTTTGGTTGAATTCACAGGGAAAAGGATGCGAGCGAAAGCCAACAAAGTTTACTGCACAGAGAAGGAAAGGTGTCAGAGATGGAGCGAGCGACAGGGACGGCGATGAGCGAGAGAGGCGTTCATCATTTGCAACTGATCTTAAATAATTCTTCCGTTTTTAATTGGACTGAAAAATGAAATCAGGACAAATTAAATAAAAATGAAATTATACAACTGACCCACCAATTAATAGATGAAAACTGTGTCCTGCTCTTTTTTTATATAAACACACAAAAGCATGAAGTCGAATCCTAACGGGAACGTGTTCGTTATATGAAAGAAGATAACGGAGTTCTCACTAAAGCACATTCGTGGTACTTATTAACACAACTGCATGAACTATTTACATGAAACTACATTTACAGGTTGTGAAAACAGTAAAAGTGTAATGATGGGATTATTCACTGACCCCTGAGTGTCTCTAACCATGTATTCTTCAGTAAGCAGCATTCAGAGGCTTCGTCAGCAAACACTTCCTGCTTCAGTCTTAAGCTGCCCAGCTGCACGCCCATACATTCAGCTTTCCTAACAATCGCCTGCAAATGAACACTTAAATCTAGCCGAGGCGCTGCTGTGCTCTTTGCTGCTGCAGCAGCCATAAAACATCCAAAACTGCCTGATTTTGAAATATCACTTTAATTAAATAGTGCCACGCTGAAAGCGCCTCTAATAAATAAAGCTAAAAAAGAATTCAGCTAGAAACTTTTTTCACGTCCAGCTATGATTGCATATAAAGTGAAATCTTTCATCGCCATGGTGACGTTTGCGCGTGTCCGTGCACGCGATTCGTCTCCTTTTGAGCTCCGTAACAGGAATCCACGCTCACGCGTGACTCGATATGATTCTGAGACTTTACTTCCAGTACTAACGAGAGAAACCTGATTTGCATACGGCGATGCAAATGCACGTGTGCTGACAGAGACATATTTGCTAATTGATGCTCAAATTAGCAGAGCTGAGTAAACTGGCAAGGCGGTGCGGTTGTGGTTAATATTGGGCTGCGGTTATGACCTCGTTTGTGTTTGGTGCGATGACAAATGCGGCTTTTCTGCTGCAGCTTAGAAACTTCTACAAAACCACTGAAGCTCACCCGAAGCGCTATCACAGAAACCATCACCAAAAGATGAGGCTGACACTTTATAAAACAGCCCACGACTAAGGCAGTAATTCCCCTCTATTACATGAGATTATAATGTCATTATATTTACCTACAAACTCTTACAACAGGGTAAAAATTCAGGATTTGACAGGAAACAAAGAAATAAATACACTGTAAGTACATCTCAGCACATTTCTTGGTATTTTTGCATAAAAACAAAACAAAATCTTCAATCTGATTCTGTAAATAGGGTGAAGTTTGCAGGGAGGGGGTCGTATTATGGATGGATTAACCTTGAATTTTTACATCTTTATTTAATATTCACTGCATTGATGTGCATGATGGATGTTTTATTATTGAACTGACCTTTTATTTTAGCAAAGTAAGTGTGATATGGTGTCTGCTCCTCTACCAAAAATAAGTGCCATCAAAATTCCCAGGCCTCCCTGACCTTATAACGACGGAGCCAGGACAAACTTCCTGTAAAATACCTGGAAGTTATACACAACATCAACTTACGTCAGAATCAGAGAGACTTTATTGGTCCCAGAGGGAAACTGAGTACTTATACTTTACTTCTCAATTCTAATAGTTTTAAGTATTTGTAGGTAAATATAACACCTAATAAATTCCATTTAATTATAGGAGAGTTACACCCTGAGTCACAGGCCAGATTATAACGTGTCACCAAAATTAGCCCATTCTTCTTCCATGTCAATCTTCTCGGCTTCAGCGCTCTCACCTTGTTTGTGACGTGTGAGCAATATGTTCTTCTGGACTTTACAGAGACCCAGGGCATGCTGGGAATAGCAACATGACAGAGAGGGATCAAGCAGAACTTCAGGCCAGCCTAGAGGGATAACATTTATCCCAAACATGTAAGGTCCTCCCCCCTCTGCAGCACTTCTGGGCAAAACTGAATTTTGCTCTTTTGCTGTCAGTACAGGAAAAAACGGAGGCGTTTCTTAATATGATGTTGTTATTGTGGCTGCCTGATGGTTTGGCAATGAAAACATGCCATTCAAGCAATCAGTTAATAAATCCTTATTTATTTGTCGTGCATTTAATGAAGATTGAGGCTGATGGGGAGGTGATGTACAGGCATGTAGTGCATACCATCAGTCTGCAGAAACAGACGTCTGAGCCGCTCAAATAGTCGTCTGCTTTGTCTCATTCACACACACACACACACACACACAGACACACACACACACACACACTCATATCTGAAGGAGGAGGACTGAGGGAAGTGACATTTGAAACAATATGCTTTTGTTGTGCTGCTGCATCCGCTGTCACATTACACTGATGTATGCACAAGCACAGGCGTAAGCACGCACACGGACGCAGCATCTCTGCAGCTGACTTTAAACAGTCGCTGAAATGTCTCCACACCCTCGAATCAGAGAGCAACAGGTGACCGAGATGTGAGCTCACAGCATCACCTTCCTCACACTGTTTGCATGAATAAAAAAAAAACATAATGAAGCTGTAGCTAAAGCCTGCATCGCGTTAGCACTTTGTTTCTCGCTTTCTTAAGTTTGGAAGTCTCAGATGTTCACAGGTCAACCACAAAGATGCTGCAGCTTCACACTCCTAGAAGCCAAATCACACTATTCTCAGGTCCAAGGCCCCGAAATGTAAAAGCATATACGGCGTAGTCTTATTCTTTAACGTGAACCTGATTCTGTTTAGTACAGGATGTAATTAAGCACACAAGACAAACACAAAGCTGCAGCCAGTGACTCTGCAGAGGTCCCACCTGCATGCAGTGGGACAGGTGTCAGTCTGCATGTGGCTGTGGAGAGCATGCCGGTGGTGCAGCAGTCATGCAGCAGGAATATTTAAATGTATGTGAGGATGCACGCAGCCACCATGCAGAGTGCACAACGAGGAAAGATCAAGTCCCCACCAGTGTGATGCTGGTTCTGAGTCGTACCCAGGTCCATGCTCTTCGAGGCTTTGACGTGCTGGATCTGCCACTGGTTCTGGTTCTGGGTGGGAGACTGGGGCTGAGCCGGGCTAGCGACGTGAGGCTTTTCCCTTAAACAAATGAAACACAAGGCAAACAGAGCCCTTATTTTATTTGTGTGGAAGTTGCATCGTGTGTTGTTCTAATAACACAGGAGGGAATCGTTTTATGTTGTTTGACCCTCGTGCAGACAACATTCACACGTCGATTATTATAACTGCAGCAGCGTTAGGAGCAATGATCTTACATTAAGGAGGAAACAGATGCTCAATAATGTTATTTTTTAGGAACAGCTAAATAATAATAATGTGAGCAACAGTTCAGCGAATGTTCTTGTGATGGTGACACCAACGTGTGGATAAAGAGTAAGTCTGTAAAAACCTCTGAAGAAGACAAATACTCACCTTTCCTGGAGATAAGAGTTTTGATTGGAGCTGCTGAAATCAGCGTCATGTCCATACAGCAGCCCGTCCTCTTCCTCATCCATGTGAGAGTAACTCCCGTTGGTTACTAGAAAAAAAATCAATCTCATTTAAAATAAAAACCTCAATGGTGACGTGACACAGCCTGAGAAAACAGACCAAGCATCTTTTCTAGAATCAGGCCATAAATAAATAAACGAATGTTCGTACAGCCGACTCGTCCGTGTTGCTGTGGTCACGGCTCGGCGTTTCACGCAGTGCCAGCCAGACTGGGAACGTATAACATGCCCCTTCCTGGGTTCTCTCTCTTTGTTACGGTTATTTGGGTATTTGTTTACAGGCAAATATATTTGTCAGATATGACTATTACTCCTCATATTGGGGCAATAATAATAATAATTGATTATCTTACTAATTGTTTAAAAACAGGCCAATCACAAAAGCTATTTAGATTTTCAGGGAGGTGCTTGTGTAGTTTTTACATTCAACGCAGACACAAAAATCCTCTGTTAGCTTTGAATTTCTGCTCTGCTGTCTGTTAACGAGACAGAGATGATTATTGCTGCACAGCAATGTAGCAGAAAACATCCAAGCAGCTGCCTGCACTTGTGAGTCTGCTGTAAGGCCGACAGTATAACAAATGCAGCTTTCAAACGCGGCACACGAGGAGGAAACAGAAGGAAGTGAATTATGCTGCGAGAGTGTTTTGAGGAAGTCCCGACACTGATTTCCACCTCAGCTTGCAGCTGCATGTACCTGCAGTTTCACAATCACATCTGAAGCCATTAGCGGCGGACTATTTAATAATCAAAAAATGGGTGGAGGAACACGTCAAATAAACACGTGTTACTCTGATCTATTGTTGTCTTCAAGCGCTCCTCTAAATATTTAGAAAACCCGCCTTTAGTGAGGAGAGAACATTAGAAAGTGGGTTAAAGAGATTCTCACGAAAAGCTTCGCAGACAGAAAGTCTTAAGGATAAAAACTAAAGCGAGTGATCGACGAGAGGGAAGCGGAGGGAAAGATAAGCAGCTGGATGAGCAAAAAGTAAAGAGAGAGATAAACCACAGCAAAAGTTGGTGCAGATGTGCAGAAGTGATATGGCTGCGTCCGCCTGATAAACGAGCTTATGACAACTTGATACGCAGACACACGATCCACTCGAGCGTAATTTACATACAGTCATCACTTCTCAGAGTGCATCGCTGCCGCGCAGCACCCTCCTCGCCGAGCGTACCTTATACGCTCTGCACATGTGCGACTGAAAGCAGAGACGTTTGCAATTGGAGAGGAAAGCGGCGGCCTCCGAACGCATCGCAGCCTCTCAGCTCCCTCCCTCCCGCTCGCTTTCTACACTAATCACCTGCTTTATTTTTCTTCTGCTGCCTTTCTTGCAATCTGATATTTTGGCTGTCATTTATCTCTCCTCTCAGATCTCCCATAAATCATTTTATCTCCCACTCAGTTTTCAGCCTTTTTTTTCTCCTCCTCCCTGCCAGCACCTTAATCAGCTGAACTGTCAAACACACACACACACACACTGTTCTCACTGACTCCCTCTATTTGAAGTGAAAAAGGCATTTGTTGTGTGGATGATAGCTCAGTATCAGTTTGCTCCAATAGAGGATAGATGAATCCTCTTCTTCCACACTCCACGTTTCCTTCCTGTCATCTGTATTTGTCTACGGCTTGTTGGTCCAATCATCCCCACCCATCTCTCTCTTAGCAGCCGTGGGAACCGGCGCGTTCATTTTACAAATACAGAACCAGTCTGAAGTTTGGGTGCACTGGTGGTGCGTTCAAGGCTTTTTGCTTTAGCTGTGCAGTTTAATGCAGTTCATTTAGCTGGAATTGTTTAAGAGAACTGCTGGGACTTCTGGTCTTCTTAATGATCTGAGAGCATTAGTCAGGTTGACCTGAGTGGGTCTGTATGAGCGTGGAAAGTAACTGTTTGTTTTTTCAGCTGGACAATGACCCACAACCACAAAGAAAGGCAGATCTGGCTCCTACAAATGTCCAACATGAGCTGGACAAAGAGAGAAGCTGCTGCTGATTACTGCTGTACACGTGTAGGAACACCTTCAAAAAGCATCCTGGCTTCCACAGATAGCTGGGGGAATCACGAGAGTGCAGGAAATGTGCATTTACTTATACCTTAAACTATAACAAACAAGGCAGCTCACGCTCTTACTTTGAAGGGAGTAACTTTATGTTCAGTAAATATTCATTCTGTTTGTTTTTTTTTAAACGCACTTTAAGATGTTTAACAGGTTCAAGTGTTGTTTTCTCTGCTGGAACTCGTATCAATATTCGTGAAATGTTTTCTACAGTTACTTTGTTACTATGTTTTACTTATGTGGGTATCATTCCCTGTATGCCGAAATGCCTGAATTATGAAACTGAATTTCCTGGAGGAACTGACCCGAGGGATTAATAAAGTTTCATCTAATGTCATCAGTACAAACAATGGTGGCGAGAAACATAATATTAAATATTTCTATATAGTATCAACATCCCATGTAGAATCCTATGAGACATGCTTGATATCACATTCAAAAGACTCACAGAAAACTTGACCTCTGACCTTAAGATTCAACCTCATCTGAGGTGAGAAACATTTATGGTATAAATTTGAAAATCGTACATCGCCTCGTTCTAAACTTTTCGTGTTGTCCACGCCGCCCAGTGGCGACAGAACTCTGCCAGGTTTTACAGACCGTGGTGTTTCTTTTACTGCTTTTTAAACCAAATCTTATAAACAGGGACCTGTAACAATAGTTTTCAACTTTGATGTTTAATGATATTTTTTCAAAATGTGCCATTAAAAAAACACAAACAACAAAACTATGACTGCAGCTCCTCGCGGTGCCACACGAGGACGGTTTAAGTCACAGGTAAAAGAAACTTCACAGCTATAAAAAGCACATTTATTTTGCACCATGTTGTGTCTGTAAAGTCTTTAGTCTCTTCAGCTGGATTACCCTTCATAAAACTCTTGGTTGGATTTGTTATACATCCACCTGGTTACTGCAGTCAGGGACGCGGTTGCTTTGACGGACAACAGTAATTATATCAGATCCTCGTCTGCCCGGCTGGAGCTGTCCACTGTGTTTGGGGCATGTTAATAGATTATCTGACAGATATGATGATGCGGACCATCAAAGGAGTTTGTGTTTCTTTCTGTTACCAGCAGATCTGTGTGTCAGTTTGCTAACATTAGCTGACAGCTCGCCACTCCGTCCTTTCATCCTAATATGATGATGATGAACTTCTAGCTTCAAAAAGCCACATGACTGCACTCAAACTCTAACATGCATCCAAAAGTAATGGATATACGGCGCCAAATCACAACAACAGTCGCTTTATATTGTAAGGTAGACCCTACAATCCCAACAATCATATGTACTCTATGAGCAAGCACTTTGGTGACAGTGGGAAGGAAAAACTCCCTTTTAACCGGAAGAAACCTCCAGCAGAACCAGGCTCAGGGAGGGGCGGGGCCACCTGCTGCGACCGGCTGGGGAGAGAGAAGGAAGACGGGATAAAGACATGCTGTGGAATAATGTTGACCTCACAGTGGCTACATCTACCTGGGATGCTCCTGGGATGGATCCCACATTAGAGCTTGACTCAAGTCTTGCATGACATCATTAAGGTTATTTTTCTGTGTTAAGTTTCTTCAGGCCCAGAAAACATTTTACTTAAACCACCACTTTCATTTGTGGTCAAAAACAATTTAAATACATAAACATGAGAAAATTTGGAAAGACTGCATAATGTGAAACTGTACTGAATTTAAGCTTAAGTAGATAAACTCTTCAGAAAGACAGAGAGAGAGAACAAAGAGTGAATGATTACTGAAAGAAGAGGATGATGGATAAGAGAAAGAGACAGCTCAAAAATGCAGAAATAACACACGTGCATGAGTGTGTATGTAAGGAATCACTACACTGAATTTATTCTGAAACGCACAGAACAGTGCAGTGTTTTAATTTGGACCGCGTGCCAGAAAAACTGTGGATTCAGTGTGTGAAACAGTTCATTAGAACAGTGAAAACACAGGCCAGCGTGCACACACACACACACACACACCAGTGAAAGCACACAACACAACTCGCACAGCCTGAGAAATGTGCTACTGTATGCCAACACACACTAATGTGTGTATGTAAATGACACGATAGCTGAGGTGAATTTGAACAGCAGAGTGT